TTTCCTGGAACTCACTTGGTAGCCCAGGCTGGCCTCGAACTCACAAAGATCCACCTGGCTCTGCCTCCCGAGTGCTGGGATTAAAGGCGTGCGCCACCACCACCCGGCGTTACATTTTCCTTTTCTAACTCTTTCATAGAAGCAATTCGTACCTTTTTCTCTTTGCTTTGAAGAGAATATCTTCTATCGTAGCTTTAAGTGATCCAGTTTCATCTTCTTTAAGAATTTCCCTGTAAGCATTATTTATTTGTTTGAAAAGATAAGCTAAAGATAATAGCCCAATAAAAATTAAAATGTACAAAGATTTGTATACGTGTGTTTGCATCAGCACAATCTGCAATAGCCAAAAATTGGAACTGATCTAAATGTCCATCAAATGCTGAACAAATAAACAAAAATGTGGTATAACAGTATATGGGACATTATATACTATACCAGCAATTACAAAAAAAATTACATGAATGAGCTTTGAAATTTACATAAAATGTACAAGAAAGGTGAATCTACAAATCATAGGTTCATAGTTGTCTACAGGTGGTGGAAATGGAATGTGTATGAAGGAACTGATTGCTATGATTAAAATGTTCTAAAAGTAGTTTATGGCAAAAGCTATGCATAAGAGTAAATTGTCTTCAAAAATTCGTTCAGTTATACATTGAGGTGCATGAATTTTAACATATATAAAACACACTTTAATCAAACTGAAGTTAAGACAAAGAGACAATGTCTACAACATGGGACAATGACTCTCTACTTACCATGTTCTCTCGTAACCTCCTTCCCACCGCTTGGTTCTCTCAGGCTCTTCATCCATGTTTTTTATAATGATATATATTTATCCAACACTGTAAAAAAACATTGGATCACAAGTTTTCTAAAGACAGTTATTACAAAATGAATCTAATTACTTGATAGTTAAGGACAAAGTTTAAAATATCAGAATAAAGAATACACTTTATTCTTGTAGTTTATTCATTAACTCTTCTGTGAAAATACAAAATTCTTATGAAACTTTTTCCTATTTCCAATAAAAGATATGTTTCAAACCTGGCACCAGTAAAAATAAGCATATTTTTGAAGCTTGTAAAACAATAAAAACTGTTTCATGGACGTCACTGGACAAGAATTCTGATAAATAAGTACAAGATTAGTCACAACCAACAATTATTATAGCTGAGTGACCAATACAAAGCAATTCATTGTTCTTTCTCTCCTTTGTGTAAGCTGGAATTTTCTCATGATCACATTTTTTAAAAAGAAATTTATCAGGCAGCCGGGAGATTACATATGGAATATGACCTTAACTATTAAAGGAAAAAAAAAAAGGAAATTTTTGATCGTTCAGTATTACAGTTGGGCATGGTGGTGTATGCCTATAACCCCAGCAGTGCACTCCACAGGCAGAGACATAGAGATCTCTGATTTTCGAGGTCAGCCTGGTCTACATAATAAGTATTACAAATGATGTCATCTGCGTGACAGAACTAAGATTAGTTGGAGTTTTCTGCCCTTTAATTATTATATATATTCACATTATATCTACTTCTTTAATAATTAAAGACAAAATTGCTGAGGATGATAACTCACAACTATAATCCCGGCTGGAGGTTAGCAGCAAGTCTGAGACCAGTGCAGTCTACACAGTGAGCTCCAGGCCAGTCCGGCTACAAAATGAGACTATCTCAAAAATAGTACAAGTCAACCTATTGGGCTTTAGATCTTGATCCTCCATTGTTCTCAAACCATCTACTACCACATACAGATGGCGCATCTACCAAAAACAAACGAGGGAGAAAATCTACAGGTACGTTTTGAGAAGAAGCAAAGATATTTAATATTCAACTATCCCATACATACATTTTAAATATATTATTTTAAAAAGTAGTTGTGAAAAATTGACATTAGGTTGGGGGAGGTCTCCCTCCCCACAGGCCCATAAGGACTCGTACATGCCAAAGCACTGAGGACAAAAGCACATCCTCTAACACTGGCAGGGACAAAGGTAATGAGGACTATAAGCAGCACTTCATCCTCCTTTTATAACACTTTCTACAGAACAGGAGAGAGGGAATGGGCTAGGGATGCAGCTCAGTTCAGAGTGCTGCCAAGCATGCACGAAACCCTCAGTTTGAGAAGGGCGGCACAGGCTTGTAACCCCAGCACTCAGTGGAGACAGCAGGGTCAAAGGTCAAGGTTAGGGTCAGACAGTGGTGAACTCTTTTTATTCCAGATCTTGGAAGACAGAAGCAGGTGGGTCTCTGTGAGTTCAAAGCCAACCTGGGATACATGAGACCCTGTCTGAAGGCGGGGGAGGTTCCTTCAGACATGAAGACCTGAGTTCTTATCCCCAGCACTCACATACAGACACATCTGTAATCCCAGCCCTAGAGGATAGAGGCAGATTGAGGGGAGGTGGGAGAACTTGGCGGCCAGCCAGTCTCGCCAATCAATATGCTCCAGGCTCAGGAAGAGACCTTATCTCAAAAAAGGCGGAAAATACAAAAAGACACTAGGCATCAATTTCTAGGGTACCCACAGTAAACCACACATACACACACAAACAACACATATTCACCAAAAACGGGAAATATATGCATACATATGGGGAAGGGGGGTGTCGTGGTAATGTGATGAACGCTTAAGACAAGATCTCACTCACTGTGTAGCCCTACTGGGCTGGAACTCCTTTAGCCTCCCAAGTGCTGAGGCTACAGGTATGAGCACTTGGCTCGGAAACTGTTTTTAAATCTACAGAACTGAGCAGAGTGAGATAGTCCACATTCAGGAGGCAGAAGCAGGAGGGTCTCTATTTTGTTTGGTTGAAACAGGGTCTCTCTATGTAGCCCTGCTAGGTTGGAACTAAATATGTCCTCAAACTCAGAAATCTACCTGCCTCTTGCCTCCCAGGTGCTGGGATTGGAGGTGTGTGCCAGCTCTATGCTGAAGACAAGGTGTGACATACATAGTTGGCTCTGTCTCAGAAAAGAAAACACACACACCAAAAAATTGCTCACTGAAGAATAGACATGGACTTCTGGAATTTAAAACCGATTGACAAGTCAGAGAGGTGGAGACTTCCAAGGAGCTTTTTTTTTTTAATGAAACCTGCCACAATCGAATATTATTAGTTAAATTCTGTTTATTTCCCAGTGAATTTAGAAGTTTATTATCTCTGTAAGAGATGCATGTCTCAGAAAACCTGAGAATTTGCCAGTAAAGGGTAAAAATAACTCAATCTGGGAAATGCTTGACCAGAAACCCCCAAGCCCAAGAAAAACTGCCAGCTCGGACAGTTCCTATCTGAAACCGCAGGGGCAGATCTAAGGCCAGAAAATGATCGACTGAGCCTCTCACCCTCATACGCCCTTCCCCTCTCAAGCCCAAACCTTCAAGGCCCAGCTATCACAGCCCAGTCTCCACTTCCACGGACTGTGGCCCTTCCGTTGCTCTATTAAAGAGCAATCCCGCTTCTGGAGATGTCTGTCTATCTTTTCTTTCCACGTCGCCTCCCTCAATCCCAGTTTAAAGCCTTGGTATCTTGAAAAACTAAAAGTGACAGTATTTTACAACGTGAGCTATTTCAATACTGTAACTATCTTGGTGCCATCCATCCGATGGATGTACTCAAGTAGTAAATAAAATGACTAAAGTGAACATTCCGATACCTTGTTTTCTGCACTTAAGGTGAACACTAAAAATGAGAACTCTGCTTGAGATGGGCACAGTGGAGTACACCGGTCATCCCAGGACAAGTGGGATGTGCGAGTGCACACACACTTCGTATAATATTGCTTTTAAACGTTTAAAATATGGTTCCACCACATCAAAAATACTTTGTAGTTTTCTTTATTATTTGTATTATATTATATATATTTTATATATTTATATATTTTATAGTATTTATTTCTTATAATTTATCGTTTCTTTATTATTCTCTTAAGTTCAGAAAAAATAAGAACCACAGAATAAAAATTGTACAAACTTTGGCTCTTAAAAGGGCATCTTAATTAAAACTCTTATAACGGGCAATCTGACAGGGAAGGAGCTAAAAACTCCCCAAACTGCACATACACTAATCCGTTTTCTGGAATCTCAGCCATCACACCCATCCACCCCCACCTCCCCACCCCCACCACCGCCCGAGACGCCAAAAAGTCCACGGTGTGTTTGCTGTGGAAAGACCTGGGGATGCCATCAGCTTAACAGGAGAGCCGCAGCGCGCATGGCAACTGGCGAGGCTCTCTGCCTCACCTTACCCTGCTTGGCACGAGGATGACTGGCAAGGGCGATTACTGTCCGTGTCTTCCAGGAATGGACAGCTCTGGGGCCGGACACAGACCACAGAGCCAGAGGTCCGAGGCAAACTGGAGGCCGTGCAAAGGACGCTCCTCTGCCTGCACCGGACTCCGCAGGCGGAAGCTGCCCGTCGCCCTGCACACGCCCCTCCCTCCGCCTCCCAGGTCCCCCCGAGGCCAGCCCCGGCATTACACCTCGGTCCTCTCCTCCGGGTCCCTCCTGTCCGCCTCGCACTCCAGCCTCCAAAGCCTCGGTGCCGCCCGCGCCGGCCTCCACCCAGGGACTCAAGGGCCCTAAGGAGACCACCCTCACCGGAAGTGGCGTCTGTCCGAGACCGCCGCCAAAATTCCTCCGCAGAGCGTTGGGACCGCGCAAAAAAAAAGGTTCCGGCGGCTGCGGGCAGAGGCTGCGGGAGAAGGGAGTTGGGGAGGGATGGTGTCCGCGAGCTTTACTGTGCCTTCAGGTGGCCGGCTCTGGGAGAACAAGGCTAGGGGAGTCTCCCAGAGAGAAGACAGCTGGGGAATCACCCAGAACAGGAACGTCTAACCATGCTAGCGGATGGGGAAAGCTCCACGGGAAAAGGAAACCGCGTGCAGCCTCGGAGGCAGAGGCATGTGTGGTTGAGGTACTGGCAGAGTGAGCGTGGAGGGCAGCTGAACTTGTGGATAAAAAACGCTTTAGTGATGACTCCAAGATTTCTACTGTGCGGTGCATTTCTGCACGCCAAACAGCTAAAACTACAAGTTCCGTATATGTTATAAATCGGTTTAGGGAGCCTTGTTTTTAAATTTTATGTGTATGGGCGGTTTTGCCTGCATGCACGTCTGTGCACTATTTGCGTGCCTAGTTGGGACGGGGTACAGAATCTGGCGTTAGATCCCGTGGAACTGAAGTTACAGGAGTTTGTTATCTGTTTATTTATGTATATGAGGGCTCTAGCTGCATGTACATCTGCATGCCAGAAGAGGGCAACAGATCCCATTATAGATCATTGTGAGCCACCATGCCACCATGTGAACCTCTGGAAGAATAGACAATGCTGCTTTTTTTTTTTTTTT